AGTGACCTATATTGGATTCAAACCAATAGTCTACACGTGAAAGCTCTACTATTGTCAATTTATTCAGCTTTTCAGTAAGAAAAACAAATGAACCAGCTGTTCCTTGGGCAAATGTGTTATACACAGACACTTAAGTTCCTTAAATTATCTAGTCTCACTGCAATGCTAGATTTTGTTTTGTGTCATCTTAATTTTTCTTCCTGCAGCAAGTCTGGCTGGCGGAAGGGAAGAAGAGATGGAAATCTGCTCAGTTTTTAAGTTCTGGGTGTTTCTGAGCAATCCTCCTCAAAGCTGCTCAAAATCTTAAAGAAATAGAAGGCACACCATGAACAGAAAACAAGAAATTTGCTGCTTTTTCTGAAGAGAATTAAAGAAATGCCAAAATGCCATTAAAATGCATTAAAACTGTTTATGATTTTGGATGAGTATGGTCGTATACAGCTGATTTCAATAACTTCTGCAGAAGTTTACCTTTGTGTCATTTAGGTCTCTTAAATTGCTAGTCCTTTCATGTGCAGAAGAACAAGTCCAAACTCTGAATTGTTTAGGGGTGGAAGCAGTATCTCAACCTGTCCTTTTTTAGTGTTTTCCCTTACCAATCCAGAGAAATCTCTCCATCCTAATAATCTCAGTAAAAGAAAGTTTTATGGCCTGCAGGGCAATTAACTTCAAAATGTTCCAATTCTGTATGCTTGATGATCATGTCTGCTTATTTTTCTGCCCAAAACTCTCAAGCTGTCTCCTACCTGGATAACAACCAACAAGAAGCTCTGCCTCGCAGCTCCTTCCAGAATTCCCCAGCCTCCAAGTTGATATTACTTTTGAAAGATTAAAATAATCCCATCCGCTGTGGTGCTAGCATTGTATCTTCTGTTCTGTCTGACTTGAATCATGCCTATAAAGTTAACTCTATAACTGTGTTGCGGCATTGATAACTGACCGACCTTAGAGCTTGCTTGACAGTGTAAGTCTTTAACTGGGAAATCCTCGGAGTAATGGATTGGTCAGTGAGATCCTCAAAGCATGTGCCTTAGATCCTTAGATCACATGCCATGGCACCTTAATTCTGAATGATAGAAGAGGATTAAGGTTTAGGTGGGTGGGTTGGTTGGTTTGTTGGTTCTGTCATTGGCTTTCCTCAAAAGCAATTCTTCATGTTGCTACCGGGATTTTTTGTGTCCAAGTTTAATAAAGTCGTGTCAACATCTAGAGGAGTATTTAAATACACAAAGAATACTCAAGTATATGAAGTATTGACAAGCTTAATTTGTCCTCTCCTCAATATTGTTGTGAGATCTTTTTATAACATCTTGGTCTTTCACGTCCAGTACAGAATCCTCCACCTGGGGAGGTGGAGGTGGCAGGCACGCCTGCCACCCATCCTCTCTGCTGCTTTCTTCCTGAAATCTGCCCCTTTTATGTGGTTTCTTTGTATGATCCAGCAGTGAAAATTCAAAGTACTGACTCACCCTCTAGGCTTTGGCATCTGAACCTGGCCTGGTTGCCTGATGCAGCATCCAGCTGCAGCATCAGGGGAAGGGAGGAGAGGCAGGGAAGGGGAAACCTGTGTAAGTGAGGCTGCGGGACAGCTGTCCTCGCGCGGCTCCGAGCACCCTGCCCGCTGGTGGAGTGCAGTGCTGGCAGGGGAGGGAGCAGGGCTGCCTGCCTGAACTGTGAAACCTCTGTTTGCGTGGCTTTTTTCTTCTCCAGTTTATGGGAGGCTGCATCCTTCCTCTGCCGTAACTGGCTGGTGAGGACCTTTGTTGCCTAGGTAACGGGGAAACCTAAAAAAAAAAAAAATTATTTTTCTTTTTTCTCTGTGTTTTCTCATAAAAGCTTGACATTCTTTTAGTGCTCCTTC